GTCATGACAGGGCACCCATTTCGCAAGGCACATGTGATTCGGCCGTCAACTGGATGGAAGATCTTGACCCCCGCAGATGTCCAGGTGAGACTGTACCCCAAAGAGACCAATCGATGAAGAGGGACGATAGCTTCCACCGGCTCCATGCTCAACAGAGTCGAGTGTTCTGGCACTCGATACAGTGTCGCACTTCCAGCTGCCAATTCCACTTGAACTGGTTGTAGTCGATCAAGTTCAGACGGCTTCGCCCGCCTGAGACCATGGGTCGCTCCACCATCAATGAGGGCCACAGGTTTCTCCTTGAGGTCAGCGTACACGGTGAGCTCCTTGATCCTGATGGCTTTCATAGCACGGAGAGTCTTGAGGAGAGTCGTAGCCTCATTCAAGAGATCAGCAGCTGCATCCCTCCCAGTAGGCGCCGATGGAGCGCCCTCAGCTGACGAAGATGCAGTGGTCTTAGACTGAAGGGCTTCCTGGGAATCTTCCTTCTCCGGACTGGATCTCTCTGACTTAGGCCCATCCGTCTTCGTGGATTCCTTCCCTCCCTTCACCTTCGAAATCTTCTTTCCATCATTCTTGGTGTCGGACTTGGGCTTGTGCGGGCACTCCTTCTTGATGTGCTGCGTACTTCCGCAACCAAAGCACCTGCCCTTCATGTCATTGGTGTCGTGGCCAAACGTGCACGAAGAGCCACGGCGACATCCATCCTCTGACTTCCAAAACTTGCAAGGAAGTTTCCCATCTCCCTTTCCTTCTCCGTCCCCTGAACTGCCGGACTGCTGGAAGGCCTTGAGAGCGGCTTGAACAGGCTGAGAATTGGCTCCAGATGCCTGTGCCGAAGACGACGAGGTAGTTGCTGCTGCCGCCTTTGGCCCACTAGTGAGAGCCATCTCCTCAAGCTCAGCCTGCACATACTCTGCCAGCTCTTGCACAGAGTCCATCGTGGCCAGGTAGTCGACCTTCAGCTCCTGCCTGACATTGGCAATTCGGAAAGCCACTTGTGCCCCACCCAACTTCGCCACTCCATCGATCATGCGTTGAACAGTGACCATCAGCACAATCGGATCAGGAAGCGACACACGAAGCTCCTCAGCTCTGCTCAACCACCTGCGCCAAAGACGAACTTGAGTCAGAAGCTCATGCAGCCCTGCAGGGAACTTGGTCTCCACCAGATTCTTCAGCAGCTGCGTCTTCTCTGCACCTCCGCCTGGTTGGTAGGTCACATGCAGCTTGTACAAAATCTGCACGACCGACAGGTTCCGAGCCGAAACAAGGTCTCTCCGCAGCTGATCAGGTAGAGCAGCAAGAAGCATCGCCACACCCCGTTGCTCGATCCTCTGAAAAGCTGGCGCCACCACAATCTCCGGCTTGGCTCGAAGACGTTCAAGAGGTGATAGAGTCAACCACCTTGCATAGCACTCCTGGGCTGCCATCAGTGATTCTTGCCACCATGACTTGGCCGAACAGGATATATCTGCCATCAAAGGAAACACCATAGTGAGCCAGTCGCCAAAAACAATGGATGCTCCATCCGTATGCGGCAAGGGCAACGCTGGCAGTTCAAGGTTCCTGAGCGCCTCTGTGAGCGACGCCTGTGTGGCACTGTCCCCAATCCTCATGACTTTATGGGGAGTACTCAACACACGATCATCAGGAGGTTCACGAGAGGGTTCTGGAGGTTGACCCAAACCAGGAGGACATTCAGGTGCACCACGTGAACCAGGTTCAGGGTTCCCACTAGACGCTGTCCTAAATGACACAGTATCACCAGAATCTCTTCCACCCGTGAGTCGTCGAACTTCCTTCTCGAACTGCTCCTGGGCATCCTTCAAAACTCTCAACCTCAACGCTTCTATCTCATCTTGGGGCGTTGGAGACTGAGTGACATCACGCGGTCGAGGATCACTGCTTGGGGTCTGTCTCACCTCCAGCTGACGAGAGCTCGGCGGATCTTGATCACGACGTTGACCCTCCTGACCATGACCTCCCCCATCACCCCCAGCCGAGGCACGTGATGCAGCATCTCGAACTGCCGGACTCCAAAACGGGTTGACAGGTGGGTCATCTCCTCGTGAAGGGGTGTGAGCAGCTGCACTGCCATACTCCAACGTCCTTGGAGCCATGCCTCCACCTTGACCCCCAGTCTCAGGGATCGCACCCAAAAGAACACCTCCTTGGAGTGCAGGGGCATTGCGAGGATCAAGAGGACCTAATAGACCTTGACCTCCATGGCCTCGTCCTAGTGCGTCATGAAGAGCTTGATAACTTCGTTGAAACGCTTCTTGAAGTGCTCCCAGGTTGATCACGTTGTTCCCAACTCCAGCCTGAGAAGCATACGGAGTCACGCCATCACCTCCATGACCTCCTTGCCGTTGAACAGGGGCGGAACCAGCAGCCGCAGTCGAAGAAATCTCCCGCTGAGTCTCACGAACCTGGGGAAGCGCTGGAGCAAAGGACACAGGTAGACCTCGAGCACCATTTCCAGTCGACACCGAGGCGATCCTCATTCCTGAATCCACCGACCGAGCCCGGCGCTGCACCTCCTCTTCGATGAGCGCGTCCAAGCGTCGATCAGCCTCTCCCACTTCCAACTGCCCGGAGCTCGGTCTAGCCTCCGCAGATCTTCCATCAGCTGCCGCACCACTGCCACCAGCCGTCGCAGCTCCAGCAGCCATCCTCCTCCGCCGCTGGCTCGTCGACATGGCGGCCAACAACTCAGCCCTCGCAACAAAAGGTCACTGAGGTGGTCTTGGGCTCATAACCTGAGCGTGTTTGAACCGGACCTCAACACCACAGCAAAAAACCAGGGCAGCTGCAGTGTTTCTTGAGCCAACATTCAGGTCGGTTGTTGGCATATTTCATGCCTCAAGTCATGGCAGCTTCATGCCTCACATCTATATGAAAAAAAGGCGATCCACACTCCCCCTGCTTCATGTTGAAGCATCGAGTGCACAGCCCTTCAGAAACAGATACCTTGGCACCTGTCGACAGTCTATGGGTTCACCATCTCAAACCCACCGTCGGTTTCTAAAGCCCAAGGATCATCAATTTGGTCATGGTTCGACCGGTAAGGCATCGGGCCCTCAGAAGACGTTGCAGGCGGAGCAGCACTTGTAATCGGCGACGACCGAGATGTAGTGCGAGCGGCGTTGGCAAGCTCCCCCCAAGATGCCCATGGGTCGGCGTCTTCAGTCGCCGCAGCTGCCACACCTGGCTTCCGTCTCTCCTCCTGCACCCTCTCTGCAACGGTCGGCGCAGATTGGATGCTTCCAGCGTCCCTTCCCCTCTGTCCTGGTCCTCCACGGGCATATCCAGCACGCCGGGTCGGCGACAACGGGCGTTCGGAGACACCTGGTGCAGTCGGACACATATTCACTGCCGAGGAGCTGGAAGTCGCCATCGATGAAGTCGGTGCGGCTGCTTGACCATCATGGCATCGAAAAAACGTCCAGCCCTTCCATGTTCCTGTGCGAGGGAGAATCTGACGAGGCCCCAACGACCAAACATCATCAATCAGCAGCCTCTCGCTCCCAGGTTCGGGGTGGTCAGGATAGGCCAGAGTCACCCGCTGGCCAGTCAACGTTGTGACATCCACCGGAGTCCCACGATGAACCGGGTGGAACGATTGGACACGCCCGCCACCATGAGCTCGAATCAGCCACTTGTCAGTGGCTGGATTGAAAGGAAGCCAACGGTCTTTTCCTCTCGGAGGCGCCTCAAAGAGGGGGTTGGTCCAAGGAGTGGATGAGGTGTAGTAGTACCCATGTACTTCAAATTCTCGCGCCAGCTCCGCCTCTCTGTCTGCAGCCCGCCGGAATTCCTCAGGAGTGGCAGGATGCTTGAATGCCGCCAGTCGCGGCAGCCCATCATTCCATGGCTTCCGCACGGTCGGGTGGGACGACCCAAGGTCGCCCAAAAGTTCAACCCTGTCTACCAGTCGAAGCGGCTCGAACGACGGATCGGATGATGGATCTTCTGTACTTCTTTTCGCCCCTTCAGGGTCTTGATTCTTTTCTTTTGAAGTGGTCCCTGACCATCTTGTCAATTTCTTGATTTCGGCATTTTGCCAATCTTTTGACTCTTGAGATTTTCTTCCTTCACACATCCTAGCTACTGCTAACGATAAGGCTGCAATCGCAACCGTCGAGGCGATCTTCGCTCCAGTTGAAATGGTTGGAGCAGCTAAGGCAATCCCTAAAGCACCTACCGCTGCAAGAGCTGACATCCGGAGCTTGGTGAGACCTACGGACCTACCCAACTCACCACTCTCACTTCGCTGCAGGCCAGTCACCCGGAAGAAGTCGTTCCATGTCCTTCCCAGGACAATCGATTTCGTGAGAAGATCTGCGCACAGCTCACTTCCGGGAACATGCTCAATACTCCATAGCTTGTTGGCGATCCGCTCACGGAGAACATGACTCCTCAGCCGGAGATGTCGAGTGCGCCATGGGCCACTGGGGGCCTGCAGCAGTTGAAGCCCGGAAAGGTTATCACCCTTCAGGATATAGGAACCATCGCGCTCCAAGGCATTGAGCTCCAGGACATTCACAATCGCCCCAACACTTTCTCCCATGCTCAAGGCGTCCACATATCCAAGAAGCTCGCTCTCAGTAGTTGAGAGTGTGGCAAACGGCTGTGCCTTCGACTCCCACGAGACCAGCCCTCCAGCCCAAAAAGCCAAGAGACCTTGATGGCCTCTTCCACCACCAGGGGCAAAGGATGCGTCCGACGCCACCTCAAGACGAGAAAGTGAATCTCGTCTCCCAAAGTCATCAACCTTCTCCTTGGGGGGGCTGTAGACCAACGCCAAATCCGTGGTGGCATGGAGATAGCCAACAGTATGTTCGGCAAGCTTCAAAACTCTCTTTGGGCACTTCGTGACTCGAGACCCAAGGTACGCGACAGCAAAACTGAGGTCGGGTCTCGTCCTTGTAGAAAGCCACAACAGCTCCCCAATCACTACCTGACAAGCCCGAACATCTTCTGGAGAGATATCATCTTCGACCAAATCGTCGTCCAGCTTGGGCAGGGGAGAGGGCTTCGACTGTGCTTCAGGGTGACGACTGACAACTTCCTTGGCATAGTCAGGTTGCCCAAGAAGCAATCCTTGGTCGCTCCAGCGCAGCTGCATCCCACAAAACTTCAGCCAAGACTCACGGTCAACCCAGGCCGGTTTCGAGCATCGCCACATAGTCGACAGGCGATCCAAAAAGGATGATGCGGCCAACTTTTCTCCCATGACTATGAAGTCGTCCACATACGAAAGGGCATAGCCAACCGGAGCGCCAGCCTCAAGAGCATCAATTTGCTCATGTTCAGAGCCCTCAACCCCCATGACACGCCAGACGTTCGGCTCAGGGGTCGCCACAATCCAGAAATGCCAGCCAGAGGTCCACCAGCGCATAGATGACAAGGCATTATCTCGGTAGCTCTGCCAGTCAGCAGGGGAGGTGTCAAGGCCATAGACCGCAGCCTCCACAATCCACCGATCATCCTTGTCAACCAATCCAGCATCGAGAAGGACAGAAGGCGGCTTGGTCACCATAAGTCTTGAGGACTTCCTCGGAGCCAACAAAAAGGCAGTGGAGACGTCAGTCACACCAATCTCCCAATTTTCAAAAGCAGCCTTTCTGAGCGCACATCGCAAGGAGGCTCCATCGATCCCACTGGCATAGAGCTCGAAGGACTTGGCAGAGGACTTGTCCGCCTGAGGATCTTGAGGATCAGGCGAAGTTCTCTTCGACGTGTCCTCCAAAAGGTTCCCACACAAAACAATCCTCGACTTCTTTCTGCCGTCAGGCGCTTTCACGGTGGGGACGAGCTTCGAGGGGACCACGAGCATTTCATCATACCCTGGCTCCCTTTCCAAATCAGAGACCTTGACTGAGCGCACCGCCTTGGTGGTGACAAGAAGAGAGTCCATCTCCTTCTTCAGCGACGGGATCCATGCATCAAGTTCTTTCCTGACCTGAGCAAGGGGAACAGTATAGGTTTGCAGGACTGCATGCACACCGTCAGGCGCTGCTTCCGTCATAGTTAAAACCTCACCCGGCATGGATTTCAGGCACATCGAAGCCACCTGATAGCGCTCTTCATAGTCATGCAGCTGAAAGAGGTCCTCCTCATATGCCGCCACCACCACCTCCAAGTGGTCCATGGTGCAGCCTTGAAGCCTTCCCTCCTCCTCCCCAGATACCAGATGGCGAGACGAACGCGACCAGTATTGCTTCCAGCCCCAAAGTTCATCCCCCAAGAGCTTCTTCAACTTGATGCCATCAGCCAACGTGCACTCCACGCGTCCATTCATGACGAGGTTGCGCACAGAGCCGACTGGTTCTTCACAAACACGGCATTGGATCTCCGGGCAGACGATCTTTTCATCTTCCCACCTCGTCGGAAGTGGATTTTGACATACCTGCAGTCCACATCCTCGGCAATTGGCTCCTTCATCAGGATTTCCACCTCGATCTTCTCCAGAGCCATTCATTCCACAACCAAAAGACTCCCCCCCAGCCCGGTGGTCAGGTAGGGCTGGAACTTTGGGATAAACATGTGGAGGTTCTCCTCCGGAACCAGGAGTAGCATTGTGTTCTCCCCCGGCTCTGCATTCAACCTTTTGAATAGTCGGATCAGGGTGCTGCAAAGGCAATGGGATTGGCACGACGTCAGGATCAGCAGACTGCTTTCCAGTCAATCGTCTCGATGGTCGACCAGGGTTTTCTACTTCTTGTAGTTCAAGTACTGCACGATCAGCCAACGGATCTGTCCTTACTGCAAGTCGGGCATGCTGTACCTGGGAGCCGTCACGAAGAACATATCCAGTTGACATAAAGGGACTTGGTCCAAGGATCTGCATTGTTCGAAAAGGCGGAATCAGCGGGCCGAATCCAGCACGATGCCATCTCTTGGTTTTGACAGTGACCCTGGATCCAATCGGTAGCAGTGGAGTCTGTGGAACACCCAACTTGCGACACTGCTGCCTCAGCCTTTCCTCCCCAACGTAGCGAGCCACGCCCGGCCATAGTGACTGATCCAAGCCGGATTCCCGTAGAAGTAGGCGGAGTCGACGCTTCACCTGCTGCACCTCCGCTTCTATGCGTCCATTGGATGGCCCCTCATCTCCTCCAGTCATGGTCTGGTAGAGCCCGAAGTGCCGCCACACCTGTTGAAATGTTCTTGACAAAAAAAGCACTTTCTCGATCAGTATGAACTCTGATCATTCTGATTCCGAGGGCCCGGAATCTTGAGTACAGCTTCATGGCAACCTTGGCAACATCATGCTGACCACGGGACTCGAGAGGTTCAACCACCGTGACATTCTGGACGCCAACAGGGGAGCTGAGATCCTTGGCATACTCCTCCCACCGCCGGTTCAGGGCAGCCACTCGATCATCTGGTAGTTCTTCCAGCTCTGCATCGTCAAGCGCTGGAAGAGGTTGATCCTGTTGAACATCTTCAGAGGAGGGTCCTTCAGGTTCTGTGGGACAATATTCATCCATGCCTGGGACTTCTCTGGAGACCTTTGGAAGTGGAACTGTGCCAACCATGATATACTTAGCCTTCACACCAAGGCCGACATCATCTCCTTCAGGAAGGGGGCCCAAAATGTCCAAGGAAAGACAGTACGCTGATCGATCCCCATTTGAGCGTCTGTGAGGAGCATCCACCCCCATGAGTTCAAGGCATTTTCTGCAGTCTCTTCGGTAAGGCTGATGTTGGTTGAGGACATGCTGTTTCCAGTCCTCCGCATTGAGCTTCTTCACCTCAGCCGGCACCTCACATGAGTGGATCTTTGGAAGGTTCTCCAGGTAGATCTTCAGTGACACCTTGATCGCACGAACCAAGCCATCAGCCCATGCAGACCACTCGCGAGACTGTGAAATGCGGGCACTCAATGACGTAGGTGACACTTCTCCCAAGCCCTCTCCAGCAATCCCATTGAGGTCCATCATTCCCGGCATATTGGCGATCATCAAACAGGTCGGCTTCCGCCGTACATGCCCCAGAGGTCCTTGATCCAGGATGACATAGTCGGCGTTCATGACCTCTGCCGCCCTCTGGACCTCCTCAAAATTCCAAAAAGATGGCATATCATGCCGTTCAGCTTCTTCTTGGCAATAGTCCCAGGGATCACGAGGTGACTCCATGAGAAAGGCAGGCGGAGTGGAACAGGTGTTGGCTTCATTGGCCATCATCCATAGACCAATCTGCTTCAACATCAGTGCCGTGTCACCTTCAACAAGGTCGACCTCATAGGACAGCAAGTTGGGCAATCCAAACCGTCTTTCGTCACGGCCTCTCACAGGACGAGGACCTGGATCTCGATGGCGTAAGCGAGAAACAGATCTGCATGGCGGGCCACCAATCACTCCAACCACTTTTCCCTGTTGAGCGAGATGACATAGGTAGCCCCACGTTCCAGCAGCGTGCAAATCGTACTGAGCCCCCTGGGAGATGTCGACCGTGATGATCTCAAAATCGCCCCACGACTCCTTGGTCCACTTCTTGGCATCTTTCCCAGAGAAAAGGTGAATGATCACACCTCGTGCCAGTTGGTGCCTTCGCCTTTGTCGCCGGTTCCATGGACAGGATGATGCATCCCAGGTTGATTGGCCCTTCATGTACTTGAGGACTGACTCCGGCACGTTGGGAAAGCGCTCCTTCCACCATTGAAGAACGCCACAATCCCCATCTCCAACCCCGGCGTCATCCACCTCCATACGATCCAACAGTTTCAAAGCTTCCGCCTCGGTCATGACAGGGCACCCATTTCGCAAGGCACATGTGATTCGGCCGTCAACTGGATGGAAGATCTTGACCCCCGCAGATGTCCAGGTGAGACTGTACCCCAAAGAGACCAATCGATGAAGAGGGACGATAGCTTCCACCGGCTCCATGCTCAACAGAGTCGAGTGTTCTGGCACTCGATACAGTGTCGCACTTCCAGCTGCCAATTCCACTTGAACTGGTTGTAGTCGATCAAGTTCAGACGGCTTCGCCCGCCTGAGACCATGGGTCGCTCCACCATCAATGAGGGCCACAGGTTTCTCCTTGAGGTCAGCGTACACGGTGAGCTCCTTGATCCTGATGGCTTTCATAGCACGGAGAGTCTTGAGGAGAGTCGTAGCCTCATTCAAGAGATCAGCAGCTGCATCCCTCCCAGTAGGCGCCGATGGAGCGCCCTCAGCTGACGAAGATGCAGTGGTCTTAGACTGAAGGGCTTCCTGGGAATCTTCCTTCTCCGGACTGGATCTCTCTGACTTAGGCCCATCCGTCTTCGTGGATTCCTTCCCTCCCTTCACCTTCGAAATCTTCTTTCCATCATTCTTGGTGTCGGACTTGGGCTTGTGCGGGCACTCCTTCTTGATGTGCTGCGTACTTCCGCAACCAAAGCACCTGCCCTTCATGTCATTGGTGTCGTGGCCAAACGTGCACGAAGAGCCACGGCGACATCCATCCTCTGACTTCCAAAACTTGCAAGGAAGTTTCCCATCTCCCTTTCCTTCTCCGTCCCCTGAACTGCCGGACTGCTGGAAGGCCTTGAGAGCGGCTTGAACAGGCTGAGAATTGGCTCCAGATGCCTGTGCCGAAGACGACGAGGTAGTTGCTGCTGCCGCCTTTGGCCCACTAGTGAGAGCCATCTCCTCAAGCTCAGCCTGCACATACTCTGCCAGCTCTTGCACAGAGTCCATCGTGGCCAGGTAGTCGACCTTCAGCTCCTGCCTGACATTGGCAATTCGGAAAGCCACTTGTGCCCCACCCAACTTCGCCACTCCATCGATCATGCGTTGAACAGTGACCATCAGCACAATCGGATCAGGAAGCGACACACGAAGCTCCTCAGCTCTGCTCAACCACCTGCGCCAAAGACGAACTTGAGTCAGAAGCTCATGCAGCCCTGCAGGGAACTTGGTCTCCACCAGATTCTTCAGCAGCTGCGTCTTCTCTGCACCTCCGCCTGGTTGGTAGGTCACATGCAGCTTGTACAAAATCTGCACGACCGACAGGTTCCGAGCCGAAACAAGGTCTCTCCGCAGCTGATCAGGTAGAGCAGCAAGAAGCATCGCCACACCCCGTTGCTCGATCCTCTGAAAAGCTGGCGCCACCACAATCTCCGGCTTGGCTCGAAGACGTTCAAGAGGTGATAGAGTCAACCACCTTGCATAGCACTCCTGGGCTGCCATCAGTGATTCTTGCCACCATGACTTGGCCGAACAGGATATATCTGCCATCAAAGGAAACACCATAGTGAGCCAGTCGCCAAAAACAATGGATGCTCCATCCGTATGCGGCAAGGGCAACGCTGGCAGTTCAAGGTTCCTGAGCGCCTCTGTGAGCGACGCCTGTGTGGCACTGTCCCCAATCCTCATGACTTTATGGGGAGTACTCAACACACGATCATCAGGAGGTTCACGAGAGGGTTCTGGAGGTTGACCCAAACCAGGAGGACATTCAGGTGCACCACGTGAACCAGGTTCAGGGTTCCCACTAGACGCTGTCCTAAATGACACAGTATCACCAGAATCTCTTCCACCCGTGAGTCGTCGAACTTCCTTCTCGAACTGCTCCTGGGCATCCTTCAAAACTCTCAACCTCAACGCTTCTATCTCATCTTGGGGCGTTGGAGACTGAGTGACATCACGCGGTCGAGGATCACTGCTTGGGGTCTGTCTCACCTCCAGCTGACGAGAGCTCGGCGGATCTTGATCACGACGTTGACCCTCCTGACCATGACCTCCCCCATCACCCCCAGCCGAGGCACGTGATGCAGCATCTCGAACTGCCGGACTCCAAAACGGGTTGACAGGTGGGTCATCTCCTCGTGAAGGGGTGTGAGCAGCTGCACTGCCATACTCCAACGTCCTTGGAGCCATGCCTCCACCTTGACCCCCAGTCTCAGGGATCGCACCCAAAAGAACACCTCCTTGGAGTGCAGGGGCATTGCGAGGATCAAGAGGACCTAATAGACCTTGACCTCCATGGCCTCGTCCTAGTGCGTCATGAAGAGCTTGATAACTTCGTTGAAACGCTTCTTGAAGTGCTCCCAGGTTGATCACGTTGTTCCCAACTCCAGCCTGAGAAGCATACGGAGTCACGCCATCACCTCCATGACCTCCTTGCCGTTGAACAGGGGCGGAACCAGCAGCCGCAGTCGAAGAAATCTCCCGCTGAGTCTCACGAACCTGGGGAAGCGCTGGAGCAAAGGACACAGGTAGACCTCGAGCACCATTTCCAGTCGACACCGAGGCGATCCTCATTCCTGAATCCACCGACCGAGCCCGGCGCTGCACCTCCTCTTCGATGAGCGCGTCCAAGCGTCGATCAGCCTCTCCCACTTCCAACTGCCCGGAGCTCGGTCTAGCCTCCGCAGATCTTCCATCAGCTGCCGCACCACTGCCACCAGCCGTCGCAGCTCCAGCAGCCATCCTCCTCCGCCGCTGGCTCGTCGACATGGCGGCCAACAACTCAGCCCTCGCAACAAAAGGTCACTGAGGTGGTCTTGGGCTCATAACCTGAGCGTGTTTGAACCGGACCTCAACACCACAGCAAAAAACCAGGGCAGCTGCAGTGTTTCTTGAGCCAACATTCAGGTCGGTTGTTGGCATATTTCATGCCTCAAGTCATGGCAGCTTCATGCCTCACATCTATATGAAAAAAAGGCGATCCACACTCCCCCTGCTTCATGTTGAAGCATCGAGTGCACAGCCCTTC